ATATCTCCAAGTTACATAACTGATCCTACATGTAATTCTGAGGATGGCCTACCAGCCTTGGCAAAATACATACACAAGCATTTTCAAATGAAAGCTTGGATCCTTGTGGATGAGTATGACATCATCATTGTCGAGGAGTTGTTTGACATTCCAAAAACAACAGTAAAGCAGGTTATGAACAGAAGTAACAAGCTGCTATCATCTGTTCCTGTTCTGAAGAATTGTGATGACTATGTAGATTGTACATTTGTGACAGATCCCAGTTGTGGCAGTTGACTTTTCTGGCCTGAACAATATTTGGCCATACAGGTTCTTGAGAAGCCAAAACTATTTAAAATATTATGACTTATCTCAAGAGCAGGTAATGGAGCTTCTTGGAAGACTTGGAAAGGATCTTCAGCTAATCACCAATATTGCCTATCATTACAATGGGTATTGCGAAAAATACTGCACAGTTCTGTATGATTCTTGGTCTGTCGTGAATTTCTTAATCTTGGAGACTTCAAATCTTACTGGACAGGCTCTGGTTACATCAGGAATCTTAAATACCTATTCCAAATATCAGCTATACAAGAACAACTAGTTCAATATCTAGAGAGAGAAGATAACAAAAGTGTCTTAGTTGATGTTTATTCCACAATTACACTGGATAATCTTTTGGAATTGAGAGGCCATGTTAATGATCCACAGCTACACCCCAAGCCATTAGTTTTTCATTATTTCAATTGAAAATAAGAAAAAAAATATGTCAACAATAATAATTTTAAAAATATGAGAGAAAGACTTGTTCATTGAGTGTAGAGACAAATAGAGTGCAATCCCAGAGGTAGTACTTGTATCAATTTGCCTTTTATAATCTTTGATAATGTCATAAATTTAAAACTGCTCAATAATTATAAATGAATCCACAGTTTAAGTAAGGCCTATCAGAAATAATCGATATAATTTTGCTAAGAAAAACAAACTGTTACCTTTATTAAAAGTTTGTTTGATTAGAGATTATATTTGTCTATTACAGTTTACAAAAACAAGTGACTATTTAGCATTAAAAAATATGAGACAGCACTTAGACTTTTCATAATGTGCTGAAAATGCACATTTATTGTCACTTTTTGAATTTAAGATAAAAGATATAGAATTCTCATTAAAACTAGTTTATAGTCAAGGTGTATTTCATAAATTAACAATAAATATAAATCACTCCCTAATCTTTTTGTAATTACAATGTAGATAAAATATGTTTTCTCAAAGCAGCAGTTAAATTTGATTAATCTTGCCAAAATAACTTGGTTAATAATAAACATACAGAATTCCATTAAGGATACAAATTCCACTAACTATCCTATTGTTTTTTGGGCGTCTCAGTCATTTATCAATTTGTAGTCTGTGTAAATTCTTAAATTGTGGAAAATGTGTTTTGACCGAGAGCTTTCGTATACTCCGTTGCAGAAACGACAAAATACATCCTCTATAATGTTGGAAAAAATCTAGATAAAAATGTAGATAAGATAAAAGTTAATAAATAAATTATCTTTTACCTTCGCTACATAATTTTTGAAAAGTTGTCTTATGTTTTTATATTTTATCTTAAACTGAGATAAATTTATTTTTTGTATTGTGTGAAAGAAAATTTCATTCATTTACATAATTCTGGAGGTCTTTAGTTTTTCTGCTAGTTACAGTAGGTCCAGTGAGTACTGCCACTTTTTTCATGCTACTCAATCTTGCATTCTTGTCTTTAGCTCCTTACAACTATCTTCCTTTATATCATCCACCATTTTAATTCTCCTCCTCCATTTCTTTCTGCCTGCAACCATTCCTTCCATAATGTCATTCCGTACGCCTTCCTCTTGGATTATGTGTCCCATCCAATTAGCATTTTGTCTCTCTACTATTTCTAATAAGCTCCGCTTTTCAGCCACTCATCTTATGACTTCTTCATTTCTCATCTTATCACTTTGTCTCTATTCTTCACGGCCTCATTTTCCTAATGTCATATTGTCCGAGTCCAAATTTCGGCACCGTAGAGGAAATCACTCCAGACATAGCATTTGACCAGCTTTTTTTCTCAATTCTAATTTTGGAGGTCCACACAATTGTTTTCATTTTACTAAATGCCTGTTTTGCCATCCAATTTGTCTTAATTTCTATTCCACTTCTGCACTCGAAGTCAAGCCAAGTACCCAGATATATAAATCCGTTCACTCGTTTCACTTTGTCACCATTTATATGGACATTGACCTTTCTTTCTTTCTCTCTGTTCCATGGAATTCTGGTTTTGTTAATATTAATTTTCATTTGAAGGCTGCACATCCCCTTTCCGGTACGCTCGGAATTTTTCTCATTTTACCCTTGCTGTCTGCCAGAATTGTTGTATCATTAGCATACCTTAGGCACCGAATCTGCCTTCTCCCGATTTTAATGCCTTCCACTTCTTCTAGATATTCCATGATCATCTTTTCCAAGTATATATTGAAAATAAATGGTGATGGGCAGCATCCATACCTAACATCCTTTTCATTGATTTCCTTGTTGTATTGACATTTACTTTAACTGCAGCTCTGATATTTGTACAAGTTCAGTATTAATCTCCTATCCTTCCAATCCACTGTTTTCTTTTTTCAAAATATCCATCAACCTTTCCCAGTCAATTTTGTCAAATGCCTTTTCTAGATCTACGAAACAAACCAACATTCCCTTTCCTTTTTCAATGTATCATTCCCCTATGGTTCTCATAACTCCTACTGCATCTTGAGTGCTTCTTCCCTTTCTGATCCAAAACTGTTCTTCCCTTATGAATGGGTTTAGTTTTCCATGGAGTCATTTGTCTAATATTCTAAAAAGGATATTTGAAGTATGGGAAGTCAGGCTAATTGTTCTTTAATTTTCACATTTGGCTGCTTTATCTTTCTTTGGAATGGAAATTAAAATATTCTTTGGAAAATCATCGGGCCACACGCCTGTATCATATATCAAGTTGCAAAGCTCGGCAATTTTGCCCAATTCTTAATGAATTCTGCAGGGATGTTATCAATGCCATCCAATTTTCTATTTCTTAATCCTTCTACTGTACTCATAATCTCTTCCATAAAGATTGGAGCAACTTCTTCATCTTTATGCACATCACTTTATTCTTCTAACTTCTGTTCAACATTATCTTCTGCTCTGTACAGATTACTGCCATTTGTGCAGGATCCTCTTATTATTTATACTCTCTCCATTTCTGTCACTAATAGTTATACTCAGCCCTTCTGAACCAGAATGCATTCTTAACTTCACCTACATTAGTTCAAATCTTTTGACCTCTTCAGACTTTCAATTTCTTCACATTCTCTCTCAATTCACTCTTTTTTGGCTTTCTCAATCACTCTTCTTAGCTTATTGTTCAGTTCTCTACACTTTTGTCTTCCTTTGTTAGAGTTCACATTCTTCTAACTTCTTTCTTCCATTTTATTCACTATTTCCTCTCTAACCCCGGGTTTACAAGTTTTGACTTTTTTCTTTCGTACCCATTCTGCTATTATGGCACAAATCTTTTTCTTCATTGATATTCACAATTCAGTTTGAGTGTATTTAGTTAAGAAATGCAGTCTCTGCCGAGTTATAATTGCACAATTCATTTGGTCTTTCTGCATTCTCTTCATCTATTTCTTTGAATTTTTGTTCAGATACTAATCTAAACATTCCAATATTACTTTTCAATTTCCTAAATCCCATTTCTCACTTATCTTTTTCCTCTTTATGATCTTCTTGAATCTTATTTTGACTTTTGCAAGAGGTTGTGATCTGAGTCTATGTCTGCACCTGGACAGGAGCTTACATCTTTAATATAATTCTTGTAGCTCTCTTTAATTAGTACATACTCTGTTCAGTATCTGTTATTGTACCCAGGATCTTTCCATGTATATAATCTTCTCTTATGCTTTTTGAAACCATGTATTTGTAATCACCATACTGTTCTTTGCAGAATCCAATCAATCTTTCTCCTCTCACGATCCTGCTTCCCAATTCAAGCCTTTCTACAACATTTTCCTCTCGTATTTCCCATCACAGCATTTCAAACAGGCATTTCTTTCTTCCTATTCCATAATTTCTTCCACATGTTTGTATATCTCCTCTACCTCTCAGCCGAGTGAGCTGGTGGGCATATATATTTGAACGAGTTCCAGATCTTTTGGTTTCCAACCATTATAATTCTGTCATTTATGTAATCAACTTTATTTACCCAGGATGCAAATTCTCTTTTCAATGCTATCCTACTCCATTCATTGCTTTCCTTCTACCTGAAAAGTAAAGCTTGATATTGTCACTCACTAATTCTCCAGTTTTCCATTTTCACTTTACTTATTCCTACTGTGTCTAATTTATTTATTTTCATCTCATTCTTCAGATTTTCCAGCTTTTCTTAAGATCCTCGTGTTCTAAGTTCCAATTCTCAAGTCTCTATAGGCAGTTTTGCAGGCTGATGATATGGGGAGCCCCTTCTTCTGCAGTGTTGTAGTTGGAATAAATCACAACCCTAATGCTATTCCTCTCTCTATTACTACTTGTGCTCATCTTACTAGAGATATTGCTGTGTTAATAATAAAGCATAGTAGTTTTCCCATTGATTTCTATGCTTTCTCCTGATATTAAACCATAACAAATTTAGTTTTTACTCTCTTCTAATTAAAATTTACAAAATTTTATAAAGCTGCTGGATTGTTTGAAAAATTCAAACCAATAATGTAATCTTTCAAAAAGTAGGCTTAAGAAGATTGCAGTAAGATAACCTTGATTATAATTTAAAGTCATTAATAAATATAAATAATTATTATTAATAAATATAATATATTAATTATTTATATATAAATATTTAATATTTTTTATAGTAATCATTTGTTGTTTACTTATGAAGATGAATTCAGAATAATTATAGACTCAATCTAACACAAACCTTTAAAAATTAATATCTTTTCATCATTTAAATCCAATTCTAAAATTTAAAGGTAGGCCTATGCACAAATGATCTCAAGCATCCGAAATTCTGGAGATACAGTACAGTTTACCATTGGGAGCAGTCATTTTGCTTCATTGCGGTGACTGTATGTGAATATTCAGTAAATAGAAAACTGCATTCAAGTTTCAGCACATTTACATTACTAGAGTAGACTTGATGTTTTAACTTGTAGCCTTGTTTAATATGGATTTAGACAGACACCAACAGTTTGCCTCCTATCAAAAAGACCAAAACCTCTTCTTGTAATCCTTTGTGGAGATGTATAAAATCAAAAACAAATTGAAGATAAAATTAAGGCAAAATGTATCATGTGTGGAAAGACAGTATGTGGAATTGTAACTCGATAGGAAATTTTTAAATTCATATCAAGACAAGATTTACATTTATAGTTACACGCACCAATTACCGAAGCCAAGTGTAATCAATTAAAATGTAATTTCAAATCTATTTCAAACACTTTCACTAGTAATTAAAGATTAACACAATCGGTGATTACTGTTGAGTTTCGATTGAACTAAGTTTGGCATTATGTAAATTACACATAAGGTGTCTATTAATAAAAATTTGAAAGTAATTTGATAATTTACTTTGTAAATTTTGAAAAACAAATTGTTGCATAAACTGCCAAATAGTGAAAATTACACTTAGGTTACAGAAATATATTATAAACCATTAGAAGATAAATTTGTTGAATCAGCATGTCAAAATGAAGCAATCCTGTTGTAAATGATTACTAATAGCTGATCAGAAGAGTTATTTTTCACAAGCTACTTGTAATTATTACATCTCAATCAAAACTCCTCTTTCCCAGAAAGCAAAAATAGTTGAACTATGCAAGCTCAACCTTGCATTTTTATTATTGCTTCTTACCTTGAGATTTTGTTTTAATACATTATGATCATGGAATCTATTGCAACTGCTTTGACTATGCTAGAAGGTGAATGTTAATTAGGCATAGCTATACTGACAATATTGGTAGTTAAAAAATAGTTTATAGTTATGCACTTATAAAAGCAATGGCAGTATTGTGAACCATTCATTAAAGCCTCATTAAAAAAGTTTAAACAAACCTTGAATTTCACAAATGATGAAACAAAATAGTTCATTTTGAATACAGTTAGACATCCCAAATTTCAGAATCACTTTCCAACACAGTATCAAGAGATGTGCAGAAATATTTTTGGGTGTCACAAGCTTAATGCTCGAGCAGCATACATACAAGAAAGACTTCGGCCATACAAGGCAGAAGAAAGTGTAAAGGAAAGAGGATAGATAGTAGAGAAAGGTAGGATCCCTCTGAATGGCATAATTATGGCTACAGTACCCTCTATGTTTGATGTTGGTGTGCAGTCTTTAGGCTGCAAGACTGTAGCGAACACCAATGATTGAGTGCTGCCACGAATAGCTAAGTGTTGAAGTTTGGCTGTTAGTAGGATGACTTATATCTACTTAATACTAATAAAACTGAACGCAAGCGCGAATATTAGAACTACTTAACAGCTAGACAGACAGCGTGAAAAACGACGAACACAATGACAAACTAGACAAGATGAACAGACCGACAAAAGACAAACAAGCAAGACCCCAATATTTTTTAACATTAACTTACTAAATAAAATAATCTACCATAACATAAAATGAATCTAACCAGATGACTAAAGCTAACAACCCTAGTCTAATTTAACCTAACCGGAAACAAAGCTAAGAGTCCCTAATCTAACTTACAACTAGGACTAACTTAAACTAACCTAATTTAGACTGAAAAAGAAGATGGAAAATAAGAATTAAAATACAAAGGCAGCTATATACCGACAGTTGAAAAAAAGCAAGGGAGAGCTAATTGCCATCTGTGTCCCGAGTGAGTGCTCTCAAGAGCCTCACTAAGGGATGTAAATGCAAGTAGATGATGGAACATTGTACACGTATGAATGAGTTGGTGAGGGTTGCAAGGCCAGTTGTACCCTTCAAGAACAGCAGCTCTCATTAAACTATCCCTAATGTGATTGTACCTATTGCAGAAAAAAACTGTTTGGTCCTCATGAATACAATTGCATTTTGGATTGTCCCCAAGATTAAATCTATGCAAGTATTGCTTAAAGTTGCAGTGTCCTGTAAGTAGCTGAGTGAGGGTGTAATTAGGGTAAAAGTGGCAAAGAATTGCATTAGTGTCAACCTTGGGGATGAAAGTGTAGGTGAGTCTACCAGAGGTGTCATGGTCTGAGCTGTCATGACAGAGAATGAAGATTTGCTTCTTGATGTGACTGTCAATGTATGAAGTAGGAATGTAACCGAAAGTACTAGTGACCAAAGACTTCGCACCTTGTTTGTCAAGACGGTCGGCGGTCTTGTTGCCGAGAACCCCCGCATGACTTGAGACCCATTGGAAATCTATTCTAATGTTGTTGTCTAGGTGTCTGAAATGGACTAGTTTTAAGTGGCTATCAGACTGCAATACTGTGTAAAGCTACTCTACTGTCAGAATCAGAATAATTGCGATAGTGTAAGTAGTGTCTTTTGTCCTTCCTACGCCTAATGTGAATTAAGCTCATAAATAGCTAAAGTTTCCGCCTGTGCTATCGAGCAGTGTGTATCTAGATGGAAGCAAGCATTGTGAAGCTCGTGGCTTAAGTCGGAGTAACTACAAAAGCAGCACCTACTTTGTCACCCATCTTGGAACTGTCAGTGTAATCCTAAACATGGGATGATCACCTGGATCTTCAAAGTAAACGTCAGGGACAAGCTGATGGGAGGGGAGGGTATTTTTGTCGATGCCAAATTTTTTGATATCATCGATCAAGGTCAAACTGGGAGGGAATCTTACCTACTCTAATCATTTTGTCGACATCCGAGACACTATAATCTCGCCAGGGTAAAGTGACGAGATTTTCCTGCCAAATAACGCATTTAATTTCTAAGTCGATAAGGATTAACCTTTACATTACCAAAAGGGCACTAGTGGGTGCAGTCCTACAAGCCTTACAAATGCGGAGAGCTGCAATCCTTTGAACATTAACAGATTTTTATGGTTATGGACTTTGGTGGTTACGTTCAAGCAGCAGCAGAATGATGCAACGACTGACCAATAAAAAAAATTAATGTATACAACTCGACAAACAAACTTTCAATAATCGTATTTGGGTTCAATGTCTTGATTTTTGCCATCAAAACTTGCATCTCTACAAGTGTCAAAAAAATTCCCAGTTGTTTTAAGTTTTTTTAAATGCATCATTTCTTCTGTTCCATCGAACAAATGTTTAGCTGTGGTTTTCGGATTGTCATCCCACTATTTAAAATGATGCTTATGCTAAAATATAAGAGAATAATTTGTTATACGTGAGTATTGTACAAGTTTCACAAAGACCATAAATTAAATCTAGTTAATTTAAAAGACAGACTATTATTTTGTCACTTTAATATCGATAAGTAAAATTTATCTTTTTTTATCTTCTCTAAGATGAGATAAGTATCTCAAATTTATCTAAATAAAACTTTTGAACTAATTATCTTCATCTAAATAAAAAACTCATTATCTTTTCCCTGCCCTCTGTAACTATAGACTTATGCAGATCATAAAAGCAACATCAAACTATCATCAAATACATTAGAAACCCAATGGAAAAATGCCAATGTATTTGATGTTTCTAGTATCCTCAATAATTTGTTAAATATGATTTAAATTTTATTTTATAGATTTAACTTATTTTTAAGTAGCATAAAGCAAATTTACATTTTTTCCACATCAAAATATTTTGGTATGCGACATTTTTTAACTTAGTATTAGCATCGGATATTACCGCGATCGTGCGAGATTTATCGAGAGAGTTAGAAAAAGTGGACGCTCAAATTCGGTCAGAGGACAAATATCCCTAAACAGACGTAACCAAGTAATATACAGTTTTGTCTAATATAAATCTCTCAAGGAATGGCCGTGACCATTTCTACTCTTTGTAAAACAAATATTCTTGCAAACTAAAGAGATTTCGATGTTTTAAATGTAAATTTCCTATTACCACGCTCTCCCTAATTTAAGTCCACTTAAAAACGACATCATCGAAAGCAAATTTTTAAAATAAATGCTTAATATAGTCAAACTGTTGAAAATGCCAAAGGTTACTAGTATTGTGATTGAAAAAATGGCAAGCGAGCAAGAATAAAAAAAAAAAAGTAACGCCTACATATTCTCGTTAATTTGGAAGTTAATGTTTGCAGTCTGTTTCAAAAATTTTATTTTAAAACTCAAAAGCTTACGATATTAATGTCAAGCAGCTTTTCACATATGTTACGGCTATTCTTTTTTAGTACTGTTCGATTTAATCACACTTTTAATTAATATTTTTAAACACGTCTATTTAATTACTAAGGTATTTGAAACACAAGATAACAATAAATAGAAAAAAACCGGGCCAGAACTATTTTCCTTCTCGTTTTTAGCCGGTCGAGACCTATTCGGAAGGGGAAAATTCTTCGGCCTTTAATACCATTTAAGTTATTTAATGCGCCGCCGTCCGTAATTTACGCAAAAAGCACGACGGACCTAAGAACGTCGCACGTCCGGAGGAACGTAATCTTCGGTCTTCTCCGCCACCCTCGGCATTTTTTTCACTTCCTCGAGTTCCATTTCTATTTTGTTCCAGTTTTCGAAGAAAAACAGTAATTTTTCTCTCTTCTGCAATTCGTCTCTCTTGGCTTCTATCTTTTCCTTCTTCTCTCTGTCGAGACTACGACGCAGCTGGAGGTCGAGTTCCGTCTCCCTCCTCTTCTCCCAGGACCGGAACAGTTTCGGCTGGGAGGCCACGTCGTCGGACTCGTGGCCGGACACCTCTCCGACCGCCTCCAGGACGGAGGCGTGCAGGTCGCCGTCCCAGACCCGGACCCGTTCCGCGGCAGCCAGCGACCCCTCCAGGACCCTCCGGAGGGAGGAATCCGCACCTTCCGAGCAGCCGCCGACCTCCCGGCGAAACCTCTCCAGGCCCTCCCGCGCCACGGTCTCTCCGCCGGAGGCAAAGCCGTCCAAGAGCGCGCCGGCCTCCTCCCACTTCCGTCGCATGCCCAGTCCCACCAGTCGGTAGGTTCGGCCCGCCACTCCTCCCAGCGCGGTGCCGACGGAACTCAGCGTCTTTCCCACCAGGTCCCCGGGCTCCCGGAGGTCGAAGTGGTCGTCGAAATAGGGATTGACGAGGAAGGGTATCCTGACGAAGACTTCTTCTTCCTCCTCCTCCTCGTCCGTTTCTACTTTTCCGGCCGGAGCCGGAGGCAGAATCCAAGGTTCGGGAAGGGGTTCCCGGAGATACGAGTGGCAAGAATACAAGGCGAGTCTATTGGTGACGGGATGCAAGAACTCTTCCTGCAACATGACGAGAACGGCCACTTTGGTGGCGTCCCGATAGTTCTTCCTTCGAAGAAAATAATCCATTAACATATTATAACAATAGAAGTCGGGGAATATTCCGTAATTAACTCGATCGAAGAGTATCTTCAACAAATCGTCGACTCGATGGAAGCGCAAGAAAGCGCGAACGAAAGCGTGATGCGTCGAATCGAAGATTCCCACTCCGGACGGAGTCCTCCTGAATCTGTAGACGAAATGTTCCAATTCGTCCAGCTGGTCCTCCTCCACCACGCAATTGGCAAAAATGTCGACGTCCACTCCATCCACGGGTCTCTTGGCATTGAATTTCTTCTCCAGTCGAGTGAAGAACTCGTCCATGTCGACCTCCCTCAGAACGGGACTCGACAGTCTACTTTCCCACGCTTCCCGACACTCGTAAGCGTCGGACAGAACGCTTCTCTTCGCCTGTTTGGCTACGCGAAACGTTCTTTTCAAAATCGCGGTCGCTCGACTCAGCGCCATATTTGTTATCGAGTAAGTGTTGCCACTTCCGTCGATAAAAATCGATTTGCTGGCGAAGACATTTAAAATCCGAATACGACGTATTATTTACAGAAATACGTCAAATAAAGAAACAATAAAATTCACAAAATTCTAATACCGACGAGTACTTTTTCCAATAAATTACGCTTTCGATAATGCGACGAGGTTCTTCTTTTCGTAACAGTATTAACAGCAGCGCGGTGTCACCGCAAGAACGAAAACTTGTAAGGAACCAAGTCCGAGCTTTATTTTTATTTTACTTTTATTTTGCTTTCATTATATTTTGTTTGGGGCTTATGTTTAGTTAAGACGAAGGTTTCCTCACCATTCACCTTAGTAACTTAAAATAGAAGAAAAACCAACTCACCGACGAAAGAAAAGCGCCGTAGAAAAACTCGCGCACACTTGCGCTT